CTGTAGAGTTCTGAGATTTTCGAAGTGTAATGTTCGCTTTTATGAGAGAGTGAATAATGTATCACTGATATGCTTTGGGGGGAAATTTACCCCGTAAAATCTTGCTATCTACAAGATTGGTGTTTTTGCTTTGAAATACTGTGTATAAAATGTATCAATATATTTTTTGAGAGAAAAAGTACTCTGTAGATTGTTGCCATCTTAACGATGTTAGCAAATCATAAATACTGTTTAGTGATTTTCTTTGGGGGGAAATTTACCCCGTAAAGTCTTGCTATTATCAAGATGGTTGCTTTTGCTTTCAAACACTGTATATAAACTGAATGTCATTTTTGAGAGGAAATTTACCCTGTAGAGCTCTGCGATTTTCAAAGTGTAATGTTCGCTTTTTATGAGAGTAGTGAATACTGTATCAGTGATATTCTTTGGGGGGAAATTTACCCCGTAAAATCTTGCTATCTAAAAGATGGTTGCTTTTGCTTTGAAATACTGTGTATATACTGTATTAATGTCATTTTTGAGAGAAAAATTACCCTGTAGATTGTTGCCATCTTCACGATGTTTGCGAATCATAAATACTGTATTAGTGATTTTCTCTGGGGGGAAACTTACCCCGTAAAGTCTTGCTATCATCAAGATGGTTGCTTTTGCTTTGAAATACTGTAGGTAAACTGTATCAATGTCATTTTTGAGAGGAAATTTACCCTGTAGATTTTTGCTATCTTTAAGCTGTGAATCAGTGATTTTCTTCTGAGGGAAATTTACCCCGTAAAATCTTGCTAAATTGTCAATATTTCCTCCAAATATTTACATTTCAATTTGTTTGTGACACTACATCGTAATTCTATTAGAAAAATGCTGATTTTTCACAATCTTATCAATAAATGTCTTATAAATATCTTATAAAACTGTGTTTTTGTTAGATTTTGTCAATACCTAAGGGCAAAATGCCTAAAACAGAAAAAAAGATTTTCTGTTTTGATTTTGGAATGCGTTGTATTTTGTATTTTGCCGTAATTACGGCTGAAAATCAGGACGATGTCCTATCTTTCATGGGAAGTGACCATGACAACTACTCAGACATAGAGGAATTGTTTGGGGATAAACCTCGCACACGGAGTGTAATAGATGACTCTAATACTACAAATAAAAGAACTAGAGGAATGAAGCGTAAAGCACAAACCTCGACATGCTCTGCAGGTGCACCGCCGCCACAGAGGACGAAACAAAGTAAAAAATCTAAAAATCAGTAAGAATCTGTTCAAGAATTTAATGTTGACAAACTTAAAAATCAACTTGGCATAGACAAAATCTTGCAATTCCTTTCCCGCTGACAGATACTGTAAAACAGTTGGGTCGTTCTGATTCTATGGCGCGTAATACGTGCAATGAAAATATGTTATATGTAGATCATGTTATCCGCGTGGCTGACACTTTCTTCTGTATGCTGAGAATACAACAGCGATTCCCCTGATATTAAGATGTTGAATTCAGCTTGCCTGTGTGTAGCAATCTTGTCTCGCTCAGTCCTTTTAATAGATGTTACAGTGTCTAGGTTCTTTTGTTTCCCGAACTTGGTCTTATTTGTTTCAAACATTGGTGAAATATTCTAAGCGGCGTGGTTTTCTTGGGTGTCAGAAGGGTACTCGACCTTACAATTTCCTTTTGGTTTCCTTTTGCCTTTCGCAGGACAGATTAATTTTGGTTTGTCAACGATGCTTCTGTAACGTGTCTTGGGGCTTGCAGGGACGTCACCCAGACACAAAGCAAATCCTCATTTAACCGGGTTTGGAACCGGTGTAGTATAATAGCTTTCCTCCATAGTAATTTTTTTGGCTTGAAAAACTGGCTATAGATATCCTACGGTAGAACTACTAGATAGTTAATTTTCCGGGAGGGGGGGGGGGAGCTTGCTTGCTAGGTAAAAGGCTACTAAACAACACCGACACTGAGCTGGTAATGTAAACTCACCCAGAGGTGTACATGTACTTTTGAAAAGCACATGATATACATGTATTGTAATTCCTGTTTTTCACATGGCGTCGTTGCATTTTATTTTGACCTGATAAATTTTCTTTTATTAGAGAGAGAAAAGTTTTGACAGACATAGAATTGTACCCATATAATCCATCCAGCCTCGGGGATCATCAATTGAACATACTTGACTACACTGTATAGACATGGAAGCAATATCTTCAAATGTTTTCTTGTCTGGCCAGTGTTAGAATTCTTAATAATGTCCTTTTGAAAGGGTTGATGTCTCTTCATTTGAACACACTAGAATCCTCTTTACATTAAGTCCATAAGCAAGTGTCATATTGTGTAAATTAAGTAAGTGTTCAAAACGGAACATTTAATGACATGTACATTATTTTCTGACAAAATCATAACGTTTCGTTCATTTAAGTTGTTAAAGTTACAGCCCTTGCCTAAGAATTCAAGAGTAAAAAGTGTGAATATTTATGAAGAAATCGGTCAAATCATTCAGCAAATTAATTTTGAATAATCTTAAAAAAGTAATGCAACTCTATGACAAACCCCTCTTCTAAATGAAACTCCTTTATTTCTAAAGTAACATTATTGTCCCATAAAAGTTCTTTTTTATCCTGAGGATCGTGATTACATTTCATAATTGTATTTTATTATGGAAAGAACCAAGAAGTATCATACCCTAAACCCCAGGTTAGGAATGTGCTTGTATTTTCCCCCACGGTGTTTTTACTTCTTACTCTGGTGGCCCTGGATATAATACCTTAAAACGAAAGCATTTTACAAGGGGCTGGATAACATCCAGGATCTCATATTTCTTGTATTAACATTAAATTCACATAAATTGCCAAGTGAGAATTGTCTCGCTCGCATATTTGTGAATTACGTATGAAATTTATAAATTCGTGAACATTGTCATTGTGATCAGTGTCCTTTGCCATATAAAGTCACCAAACAATTTATCAACATGTCAACAGAACAGCTAAAAGACGAAATTGAACAACTGCGTGAAAAACTTCTACACATGGAAGCAAAGCAAATGGCAGCATTAAAAGTGGTTCCACCGGTCTACGTTAAAACAGAAAAGGAAACTTCCAAAGTTAGCTGGTCGACCAGTAAAAGACACAGATCCAGATGCTGATGAATGGTTAACAGACATGAGAGAACATATTGTCAATATACCCAACAATGAAGAAAAAATAGAATTCGTCGTTGATCATTTGACAGGAAATGCAAAAGCAGAAGTACGGATGCGTCCACCTGATATGAAGAAAACTGCAGATGATATTTTGAAAATAATAGAGGACACATATAAAATTCAGGACAATCTTGCAAAACTTCGACTCAAATTTTATGAAAGAACTCAAGATGAAAATGAAAATTTAGAGACATACTCATTAGCTTTCATGAAATTGATGCATTATATTTCAAAGAAGGAGGGTGGAAAGAATACAAATCGAGAAAAAAATCCTTACTGAAAAAATTATTGATGGTGTAAAAGACAATCAGTTGAAAAGGGAACTAGGAAGATTTTCCATAGAAAACCCAACACTGTCATTCATCGAATTTCGAGGACGAGTGTTATTGTGGATTGATGATCGACAGACAACAAGTAGTTCTCAAAAGAATGTTGCCACCGTAAGCAAAGTTTCTACAGAGAAATCTCAACATGATGAAATTTTAGAGATGATGCGTAAACAACAAGATATCTTAGAAAAACAGCAAAAGCAAATTGAACTTTTGACACAAATGCAAACGAAGCCATTTCGACAGTTTACCCAGAGAAGTCGTGGAAATTATCAGCAATCTTTGGATCTGTCGCGTACATTAAATTCCACGACTTCAGTTACATAACCCTAAAATTTAACACCTTATCCTTTCGGCCATTTGCGACAATTATAAAAACAGCCGACACCTTTTACGGTTGTGTTTGCAGAGAATACCTGAATCTACAAACGTCAAAATGTTGAAGTTCCTACTGGTTGCCGTGTTTAGCATGCAATTTGTACCATGTTCGAGGAAACATAAATAATCCTAAGAGAACTGCCGAATGATCTGGCCGAAAAAGAGGAAGTAGGCAGGTCAGATGGCGGAGAGATCACCGATGAAGAAATGCATCTGTCAGAAGACAAGCGAGAGATAGTGAAAAGGTCCGCTCTGTCCGATTCAGAGAAGCAGGAGTACGTGGACGCTCACAATGAGTTCCGAAGGCAGACTACGCCCACTGCAGGAAACATCAGATATACGAAATGGAGCGATGAATTAGCCATTGTAGCTGCCAATTATGCCGCCCAGTGTAAATGGGCCCACAACAGCGCACGAACTTCTTCTCAAAGCACCTTTAATTACGTCGGAGAGAACAAGTATATTAACTCAGCTCAGAAAAAGATACGTCGTTCTGTGCAGTATTGGTGACTAGAGAATAGCAAGTATGATTATGATACAAAGACTTGTAACTCTGGAATCTGCACTCACTACACACAGGTTATCTTACACATGAACAGGATAATGTTTACCAAGGATAATGCTTGTTTTTATCCCTATAAAATACACTTTGGTCGGAAAAGATTCTGAAAACTCCGATTCACAATTAAAGAATATCGGTAACTCATAATGCTACAAGACATCTAAAAAACTTTAATAGCTACTGGCACAAATTCTGAAGATATAAATCATAAATAAAAATCGCCGAGATCGTGCCATTTTATGATCATTTTTTTTTTTTTTAGATAAGTTAAAGTTATTTTATGTCAACGTATACCAGGGTGCTTGTTAAGATAAAGAAAATTTCTCTAAATTGCCGATATAAAGACATGTTTGTAAAAATTTTGCTAAAAATGGATGCTGTATTAGAAATATGTTAATATAGGCTAGATGACACAGTCACGTGATTTACCTGCACTAGATTACTAAAACCTCACAAAACCATTTAAATACCACAAAGCAAAAAGCTTCAGGTAGCCTAAATACATTTTTCACTGAGGGAGATACGCAGTATTTTTGTATACCAAACATTATGATGACAGATCTCGAAAATTGTCCGCTATTAACCAGTAACAGAAATATTGAATCTGAAATCGATGTTGAATTTTCTCTTCAATTGCTGAATACAGAATCACAGGAACACCAAACCGTTGGAGAAGGATTCCAAAATTTTAATAAGACGGAAACTCTGGTGAAGGAACTGGTGCAGCAACACCAGACTCCAGACCCATCACCAGAAGATAAGGAAGTACCACACATACCCCTGCCACCCGAGAAGATTTATCACTTGTTTGTTTCTTACTGTACAGAGGATAAAGAAGAAGCAGAAAATATTATCAAACAATTGACGGAAAGATTTAACCTTAAATGTATGAACAGTGTTGAAGATTTTACTCCTGGTAAACCTATTGAAGAAAATATTTGCGATGAAATGAAAAAGAGTCTCAAGCTCCTCTTACTGCTAAGTAGATCTTACTTACGGAGTCACTATTGTGCTATGGAAGCCCGTGAAGCATGTCGGCTATCTTTTACTGATGTTAATAATTCAAACGTTATTCCAGTAAGATTAAGTCCTGTGGAGGGAGATCTAGAATTGCCCCCTTACCTGAATTCATTAGTTTATATCGACAAAAATATTGAAGAGGATGTTGCAGCCAAAATTTATGATGCCTTCAATCGTCCAGGTGAGGTTCCAATAAGAAGTATTTTATTGTTAATTAGTCGTTATTCATTTTATATAAGACTTCCATTTTTTTTAAATTTCTCGTCACAACATTTAAAAGACGTCTGACAAAATTTATTCTCTTTAACTTTATAGGAACTTTAGATCCATTACATCTGAACGAAAAAGGTATGGCCTTTAATATGAAGCCTTGCGCAATGCTAATTAATACTAATAATAATACTAATGCTAATAAATAGAAACGTTGATACCACTCATATTTTACTTTTCCTGCGTCGTTAAATCACTAAATTTCGTAGGGGTTCAATTGTCGTTGTTATAGAGGTATGAAGAGATCCACGAATTCATGTCCACCACGAAATGTAAAATTTCATAATTATAATAACTACTCAACACTTCTCCAACTACGAAATCAAATACCCTCTAATGAAATATGAATATAACGAACAGTATTCAATAGTAGCCAAATAGTCAAACTTTTTTTTCTCAAACCTCAAAAATTCGATCCCCCAAAAATATGTGATTTTAATTTGACAGTATTGTATTTACCCTAAACTGTTTCTCGGTAGTTCCAAAGTGTACCTTGTAGAAGGAAAAAAACTCATCAACGGCAATGACAACATTTAGTAACAGGAAAAAACCACACCCTTTGACATTAATGTAAGTAAAATAAACGGAATGCACGGCCACTGAAAGGAATCTTAAGTGACCATTGATTGGCAATTCAGTCAACAACAGAATCAAGGTTGATATGATTCCTCACCCTAAAATGTGACAGTTAGACGTTATTACAATTACTCCACTGATTGAAGTTATTTATTGATGTTAAACTGTATCAAAATAGGATGGAATTACTAGAATCAAGACACCTCAATCACTAAACTGTTGTGAAATTCGGGCGATGCCTACAAACAGTCTGTTGTTATAAATTTAACTGTGACAAGATGGCAGCGTGTAACCTTCGATAAATTATATATACAGTTGTATATTTCATTACAAGAATAAAAAAAGAAACAAATGATTTTAACTGACGTCTTTTGAAGTAATGAAGTTGGTAGTCACCTCTAAAAACATCAGAGGTGGGATCAGGTGCCATGGAGGAGTACCTAGTAAGCATCTTCTGCGGACCTGTCACACCCGCCGCGTGCTCTTTGTCATGATCGGGAAAACGGAAAAATCCGTAGACAATTCAATGTGTAAATAATGACCAAACAATTAGTATGAAAAAAGTCAGTCAAAATTCGACTTAATGGTAGATTGTACTTGCTGACAAGGTCATTGTATAGAATATAGAACTTGCGAAATGATGACTTTAAACGAGACTGTTGATATTTTTGTTTCATCAACTTGTTTGTCAATAGCTTGACTCGTTTTAGAAATTGTTCCTACATAGAGCATGCCCTTGCATATCGAATCAACTGGGAGACATAAACCCAATATGCAGGTGTTAAGGGTGTATTGCTACTTAACGTTTATCATAAGGTTTTGTTGTAAGGTTACCATTAACGTCTTTTTGTAGCCAATGGTATGATTGCACCTGATCCCACCTCTGACTTTTTCATTGGTCCGTCTATTACCTTGTTTATGCTGTTCACGATTCGTATTCTTGTTGGATTTATGAGATTATATTACTGATATGAAACTGAATGTTTTTAAATGGTAACTGAAAGGTTACAGAAATATGCCTGCCATGAAGCATCAATCAGTTTTTATGTTATTTAGTATATTTTTCAAATGGAGATCCCAAGTTAGATGAATTTCAAGTATATATACATACATACATACATACATACATACATACATATATATATATATATATATATATATATATATATATATATATATATATATATATATATATATATATATATATATATATATATATATATATATATATACAAGAAAATGATAATCTTGTAAATTGTTTTTTAGTTGCCACACACAACGGTGTTTTGATATGCCCAAAAGTAGCAGAAAAAGCTAAATTTGCTATCCATGGACTTGCTTTCAGATTTTCACCTTTGGAGAAATATGAGCAAAGGAAAGCTACTCAGTTTGACATTAATCTGAAACAGGTCTTATTTGTTTTCTCTTTTAATTCGCAAATCGTTTCAGTATAATATTTTGAAATATTCTAGAATATTTTAACAACACATCATATGACTTACTTTAATTATATTTCAGCTTGAAAACCACTACACCACTCTTACAAAGTCATTAAATAACAAATTCCTGTTCAGGAATTATCAAGTTCTTACAACATCGGAGTGGCGTTGCATGGCTTTGTTTTTACTATTTCTAGCAGCTTTTGCCGTTCAGGGCTGTTTGATAGTCGTCAGTGTAACCTTCAGTTACGAAAAGGAGAAATATAGAATGTTTAGTCTGATTGCATTAACAGTCGGTACGTCGATGGTGATTTCAATATTCCCGATTGGATACTTTATTATTTATGTCTGTCGAACAGTCGTAAGTAGGACATCTCTCTCTCTCTCTCTCTCTCTCTCTCAAAAACGTTTTGCGTAATATGTTTATATATACTGACACGCAAAAGAAAAGCATCCTCTTTTATAAAAAAAAAAATCAGATATTAGGAATTTCAATAATTTATACTTTAAAAGTAAGAACGAAATGCCTATTGTGAAAAAAAAAAACATGAAGGTAAAAATTAAATCTCAATTATAACAAAATTTTCTTTGATATTTTATCTAACATTAAAGTATACTTTATGTAAAATCTCTACAATTTGCAAAAATCTCACAAAGATTAAAATTATTTGCCTATGAAATAGCATACACACACTAAAGAGGACAGTGATTTAAATGCCACTATCCATCAAGAGCTGTGTAGCATAGTGGTTATAGCGTGTTAACCTCAAAGAAAAATGATACTCAGGATTCTTACTGCTAGGGTTCGAATGCTATCACATTATCTTTTTTTTAATAACAGAATAATTTTCGCCGAGAAAATTTTCCCCAGATAAGGTTTGTTTATCATAAATTCATAAATTTCAATAATGAAAACTTTTCTCTAAATTCTAAATTCACAAACTGAATATGGTTTTTATATATCTGAAGCTATGGGTATTCTGCACGCCTTGTTCACCAATCTCTTTTATGAATCTGGGTTCAATAATAAGAGGAATTCTCAGGGTTGGCCAAGAATCAGTATTAAAAGGATAAAAAGAACACCCTGTAATATATAGCTGAATGATTTTCATCCCGTTACCGGAGCTAAGTCCGAGCCCGACTTAACGGAGGTTCCCTCAATTATTGGCTATAATTATGGTTTTCAAGAGTTTGTTTCTGTTCATCATAAGTATATTATTCCGACAAAAGTTCTCATTTCTTTTCCTTAATTGAAGCCATGGCTGCCTGAAAATGACTATGAGCATGCGTTTTGATTGCTTCTAGCTGCACATTTTCTAAAATGAAGATGAAAGAGATTGCAGATGCAAGTATGTAGTATATCACGTTTTTTTCATTCTCATGCGTCTCACTAGCTTGAATGACAGTTCGTTGACCGGAAGTCCAAAGGTTACAACGCTGGCCAGGTTCGAGGAAATTCGAAATCAGCATCTGAGAAACGGGCACTTCACAAAAGACTAAATAATATTTCTTTTTCTCAAATAAAGAGATGCATGGTAGAATCCGAGATACAGTTGTTGTGTATGCCGGACTTGAACGCTATAGCTAAATAAATGTTAAATTTTGAATATCATTAGATAAATAATATTCACATATTTGTAGTAAATTGCTTGTTGTGTTTCTTTTGTGTCTTAGTGTATTTTTATTTTCTTATTCTTGACTCTTACAATTTCTAAAATATTGATTTACAGCTTTCAAAAGGTGTCCACTCAATAGTGCTTAAATACAACCTGATGTTTTACAAGGAAAGTAAATGTCTTGTGTACTTTGACAACTCATGCCTTTCCAAACCTACTGTATCCTTAAAAAGTCATTTCAGATCAAATATTTATAAGACAAAATTCTGTTTAATCATTTTGTTTAACGTGCAACGTTTCATGCGAATAAAATAATAGGAAAAATAGATCTACACTATACATTTTCAATAAAAGTGTGTCATTTATATTTATAACGTTAATTTTTTTTCTCTTTGCCCTTAATATCGGCTATATAATAACATTGTGTCTGGCGAATCGGCACGTGTTCTTCAATTTTGCGAATGAATACTATTGACCACACAATGCATTGAGTTGTAATTTGATATCAGCGCCTCATGCTTAAAGGTTGAAAGTTATTTTAGACTTATTCATAAAAACGTTTTTGTAATACGCTTCTCTTTATATAATTATCAAAATATATTTTTGAAAATGTTGAACTTTAAACGTTTACTCATTTTTGTTCTTATTTATCGAAATTGTACATTGCATTCTCGGAACTATTTTCTTAGTACTATCGAGAAGCCACATGACAATCATATGTCTGTTTAATGTGCATGTTAAACATACACAATAGTGATGTGAATTTTAATGATTTGAAAAAGAAAATCTTTTTTTTCTGGGAAGAAAAAAGAAGTAAGATGTAAATATAAAAAATGAAGAAGGAAAATTTATTTGACGCGCATCATTGGCAACCGTCATAATTTATGCTCTATGACAAGAAAACACATTTATCATTTATCATTTTCCAGCATTTTTGAATCAGTGTTATCTAAAATAAGACCATTTAGTATATTGGCAATTATTTTCATTTGTTGTACTGATTTCTTTTGCATATTCACAATATATTTTTTGTATATTGAAACTGTTATACAATATTTTCTCCTTAACAAAACCCCCCAGCTTTATCTCTATAGATATGATACTACAGAATGCGAGGTATCTATATTTCATGACTCCGATTCTTATCTTACTGATAACTTTATATAATATATATATAATAAATTTATTTACGTTTTACAGTACCACAAACAATTCGGAAACGTAGATAGTTTTAATTTTACAGCTGGACAAAGCCTAAGAACCAATCACTGCTCAAACTTTCACTTATGTATTTTAAAATGAGACAAATCTATAATGGAAAATTTTTTTCTAAAAGTTTGATTCACAAAAGTATGTGTTCCCTATATTGCCTATGGTTGCATATAGGTAGCTATGAATTACGATTAGGAGGTCGCAACCTACAGAACAGGTTAATTTTTGGATTACTTAAATCCAATTTTACTAATATAGGTTACATATAGGTTACTATGTACATTTATAACCGACCATGATCCTGACGCTGTGTTTGGCTAATTAATTAATGATTCATCAGTTTAACATAATTGTACCACTTCCCCTTCAAAATAGGTGTATGTTTACATTGATAACTTCCTAAATCAGAAGATACATTCTGCCTTAACAGACATGTTCCTGATTTTGCAGGTTATATGATTAATTTCTTCAGTTGAGTAGTCAGGTTAAACTGCTAAAGGAGATGAAGTTTGGTCAATTTGCTGAGACTGTAGATGAGCTTCAAAAGATGTTAGATACATTATATGAATACACAACTCGCTGGGATTTTTCTGTTAATGTAGATATAACAAAAATTATTTTTAGAAACGGAAGTAAAAGTAAGCCTATAGAAAAATGGAATCTTAATGGACACTCGATCGAAGTTATCGATAAGTTTGTTTACCTGGGTGTGTTACTGAATTTTAATGGTAATTACTATTGTTCGCAAAAGCAACTAGCAACACACGGAAGAAAAGTCATGTCTGCATTAAAATCAAAAATAAAAACTATATGTGTAAGTACAGAAACATCACTTTTTGACATTATGTAACTAGTATTATAAACTATTGTGCGTTGTGAAGTTTGGGGTAGTCATAACGCCAATGACATAGAAAAAGTAAAGTTGGAGTTTATAAAATCTGTTTTAGGAGTAAGGAGAAAAACACCAAAAATGCTTCAGTGTATTTAGAAACTGGAAGGCTACTTATGAAAATTACTCGAATGTATACAACGTTCAAATTCTGGTTTAACGTATTATGTAGTGAAAATTGTATAATAAAATTTTTTGGATTATTTGTATGATATCTGTGACAGAATGAAAAACAGTAAAAAAAAAAAATAATTAGGCCTTTTGTCATTGATGAAAATATCATTAATTATCTATTATTTATCGAATACTTATAGAAACATCTGCTATGTCTATTGAAGTCAAAAAGGCCATCAAGAGACTTTAAAACAATCAAGGTAATTTCAAACCAGTTTTAACATCCTCACTTCTATGCAATGCATTTTAATCGAACTCTTTCAATCTTTATTACTCTTGGGTCATTTGTATGGTCAACTTTGAAACATTCTAATAATTTAACTGTTATTGATGAAAAATGTTATGAATAAAAAGAGGATTATGATATTCATTCTTTCAGAATAAAGTAAAAGATTTAATCGAAGAGAAATTGAGGGAATTTCAGAAAACGAATGCCATGAAGAACTGGACTAGCTTAACAGAGAGTGCCACTAATCGTCATCCAACAAGGAATAACCGAGCATGTCTTTGTGAAATGATTGAGGACTTTGTGAACAAAGTACTCGATGATAGAACAGTCATTGAAGTCTGATAACATTGAATTTTTGAGATATTTCATCAAATTGGTGTTTTCAGTGTATCGTGATCACGTATATTAAAGTAATTCATATACATTTACCAGGTATATACATTTTATGCATATTTTTATATTCTCCTCAAATTGAATAATACCCAGTTCAGTTAATGACTTTGATTAAGTCTATTGACTTCTGGTTTAATAAACAATCTTCTTGTAGTTGTTTCTCTTACTTATTATTGCAATAACGTCTCAATCCTTAAAGCAGATTTTTGTGATTCCAAAGTCGTGACTTTGACTCTTGACAGTTCATGATATTGTAGCCATAGGTCTTGTCATGTCTTTTTTTAATGTAAGGCACTAGGTAAAATAAATCCTTTAAAATCCTTTACGAATCCTTTAAAAGACACATCAAAGCCAAAGGGAACTTATCATTGTAGACACAACACGAAACATTCTAACCGAAACATTAAAGATATACACAAGTAGGAAGATCTGAATTTTGCACTTTTATGGCAAAGTGTCAGTGAAAAATTTTCCATCTGACCTTTTACTTTATACACTCTAATATAGAAGTTCTCTTATGGGGATACTGTGTAGAAGGAAAAAAATGAATCAAAACCGAACAAGTGATAAATGAATTGTGTTAGTTTTTGCAAGTTAAAAAATCAAGTTTATAACATTTTCAACAGTGAAACACTGTCATTTATTTATTGAGTAAAAGTGATATTCTCTTACAGTGTAAAAGGATGCCAAAATGATATTCTCTCATAGTGTGAAAAGATATCAAAGTAAGTAAAAAATAATTTCTGGTCTGACATAAGAAAGAGATAGTGACTAAACCATCGTTTTTCATTCTGCACTCAATAATGACAGATTTTCAATATTTTGACTACAAACTTATAAAGACTTTCATATGAACCATGGTAAAAAGAGGCCACAGAGTGAGATTTTATCGATATCAGCTTTCTGCCATAACACTTTTTAAAAATAAGTATAAAATATTGATATAACGAAAAGTATTCAAGCTCATAATTCCATTAAAACAATACAAATGAACAGAGGAAACACGGACCTCTAAAACACCAGATGTGGGATCAGGTACCATGGAGGAGTAAGCATCCCCTGCCGACCGGTCACATCAGCCGTGTTTTCAATGTCATGATCGGAAAATAACCCCGGAAAAATCCGTAGACAATTCAGTGTGTAAATAATGGGCTAACAATTAGTATGAAAAACATCAGTCAGTATTTGGCTTAATGATAGATTGTATTTGCTGACAAGGTCATTGTATCGACCATAGAACTTACGAAATAATGAGTTTAAACAAGACTGTTAGTATTCATGTTTAAGAGGGTGTACGAGGGCTGTTAGGAAATTAGTGAGACACTTACTTTTACTCCATAAAGGAAAGAGATAGATTCATGCAAATTAGATAAAATTTTTCAGTAACAAATATAACAAATGAGGAAAATTTCTTATAAATAGAATAAATAATTTACTCCTGATAAAATTATAAACTGCAGTACCAATTTTTCCACCCGAGTCAACATTATTCATATAGTTCGTAATAATTTATGGTTGTCCGGTGCCTTCTGTTTTTACTCTGGTTGAATTATTTGTAAGGAAAAAATACCAATGAAAAAACAAACCCTTCGACATTTTTTTTAATTAGAATTGATATTTTTTCTGCAGGTCGTTTAGTCTGGACAAGAGTTCTCCACAGCGCTACACAAATTTTTGGTATGCTCGCTGAGTCGTCTTGACGTCAAAATTCATTTTTCGTCATAATTAGATTTTTATGAAGTGCCTCATTTTTATTATCTCCGTTTCTTATCGAAATTCTAACATACTTGCTAAAATGAAGTCAAAAGAAATTTGAAAAATTATCTACTTATGTGCTCTAGAGTCGCGGAATAAGGATCCTTACGTTGCAGGTTCGAATCCACTGTGTGACGTGGACACCGGTCCTTCGGATTAGAACGTATAAACCGAGGTCCTGTGTCGCAGAAGGTGCTGTCACGATCAGATCCCTCACTGCTCAAAGGCCGTTAGTTTCGAGTACAGGTCTTAATTTCCAGCCCTCAACCGGGAATTGGAGGTGTCTCCATATGAGTGAAAAATTCTCAAGAGGGACGTTAAGGTGAAATATCACTCGGGTCTAAATTTCACTATTTTTAAGAAAAAATTACAATATTGATTTTCATCAACAATAGCATTAGATTCAAACGGAAAATAGTTTGAAGTATGAAGCGTTGCTTATTTTTTCGGAAATGAATACAATGTCTAATCATGATATAAAGAAAATTTGAGACAATGAATTGAAAGATCAATAATTTTTTTTTTTTTATCTCAACATAAAATTAAAAATATGAGATATATATGAATATAATATTCATTTTCAGACATATTTAATTCATATTAGAAAATATAATGAAACGTTGCTTTTTTAGACGGTGGCTATTTATAGCCACAGGCTATTGCTGTCGCTTTTGGGCTATAAATAACAATAGTGTAAAATCACGGGGACCCTAGCGGCGATTTTTGCAGAGTCAAAATAATGAAAATAGGGTTGATTCGATGTTTGAAAATAAAATGCACATAGTTAACAAATACTCCCAAGTTATTTCAAAGACATTTTGTTGATGGGCACAAAACTTAATTCCTGATATTTGCCATTATCAATATTTCTTGCTTCATGAATATCCATTAAATTACGACGACCTACAATTAATTGGTACACAGACCGACTCGTATATTCGTATGCAAACTACAGAAGTCACACGGCTTTTTTTAACGTTGTGTTAATGTAACACTTAAATAATATTTATTAATAGTCAGAATATTTAAGGGGAAAAATAGTTGAGAATACTTGTTTCACATTATAACTTTGAAATCAAATAATTATAATTTGCTAAACACACGCATGGTGGTTTCTCAGTTACATTGTACATGTATGCGACAAACGATCATTACGAGACGTTCCCAATTTGATACTCCCTAATTATGAGATACACCATGCTAGGAAAGCGTCGATCTCCAAATTTCTCCGATTCCAAAAGTACAATATGATTCGAATACTGCACATTCCTTGTTCCGGGATTGCATGTTTTATAAATGTTTTATTCGAGACGTTTTGTGAAATTTTTATACAATAAAACTTTTAAAGTTAACTGTAATTTTACGATGTCTTTTGATTGTTTGAATTTCTAATATCTGTCGACGATAATATATTAGAAATATATATATATTTTCGGAAAGAAAAAAAAAAAACCCACATCTTATCGATAATCAGGTAATAAAAGAGTTGTTGGAGGCAGATACGATACCATAAAATTTGCAATGTTTATAACGATTCTATCTAAAAAAAAAAAAATAATAAATAATAAAAAAATAATAAGCCATTGCCTAGTTATCCCGGGCACAAAAACTACTGAACGAATGCTAATTTATCAAAGCTATAATTAAAAAGACTGTGACGGACAAAAGTTACCCATATATTTCATTCGTATTTGAAAATTCTATCGTGCTTCGAATAAAATTTACCCTTTAAAAAGTGTAAGAATAAAGGTGCTCAAATACACGTGCATGAAATATCAGGATTTTCTTGCGAATTCAGTGGGCTAAATATAGGTCAGTCTTCTTCTGCGTGTGTTCACAAATTAAATTTCGTATTGCGCAATGACTAGCAGCAATAAACAGGGTCAGTGTATATTAAGATTACGTATGAGAAATAGCATCATCGCAAACCACGGCCAAAATATACGACCTTCTCCCATTCTGAAGAGAGCTATATGCGGACTTCAAACCGTGGCTTGAGACGATGGAGAAATAGAGGCTGCCAAATATTTTGTTTTTCTGTTCTTCCTTTTTTCGTTTCGAAAAGTATATATATCAAACAAAGAAGTAAGAGTTCAGTACAATTCCTGAAGTCTTTCAAGCTTTTAGAAATAAGTTAATTACAGCCAGGGAATTTGGCTAAGATGGGAATCCAAGGATAAAGTCTATTTCATTATCTTTCAGCATATGATTTATGTCGCACAATCTACAGTACATGGCCAAAAGTGATTCATCATTTCCCTTTTTACCATATACTTTATGAAAAGTAAGTTTTTGTTAAAAATCCATGAGCTGCTATACGGGGGCATCAGTGTTTCACAAACAATCTTGTTTAGAATAAATCCGACCTTAGATCGTATAGATATAAACGTGTGAACGTGTACGCTAAACAAATACGGGTTTCCCAGTAAATCCAGGACTTCACCTAACCTATATTACATACGCTTGAATTTCCAGTGCTACGTTTATTTTATAAAATAAGATAATCATTCATTTTAGGATCTTACACTTCTGTTAAAAAGCATTGTGGTATGTATGCTATTTGCTATACGTGTGAATATAAATTACATCTTTCTCCTATGTCAAAAATTACATTATAATAAAACAGAAATATCATCCAAGTTGTCATTGATCGTAATTATGAAATTTTAAAATAGTATTTGTTTGAATTATTTTCATCCTTATTTGTGAGACCTAATTTTAAAGAACTGTTAGTGATATAACATGTAAGGTATTTATAAAGGCATGTATGCCTTGAAAAATACACATAAATGAAAAAAAAAAAATATTAATAGCTTTCTGTCATGCCTTGTGTGTAAAGGTCACATGACCAGTTTGAACAACATCATGAAGACAGGAATATAATGTATTAAATATTTCCATAACACAAAAGGCATTATTTCAGAATACAGATATATGAGAATACACGTCGCGGAAAGCTCACCTTTCCAATATCGTAAAAAGAATTCAAAATAACTAAATGAAAATCGGACTGAAAAGACTTCCTCACATCGATCTTATCGTGTAATTTGTAGAAATTAACTATTCAGCATAGAAATGGTAGCTAGAGAACTATATATGGTCTGCAAAGTGGCTCTAGGAAATACTCTCCTTAGCATTTGGATTCCAAAGAGACAGGATTAATTTCCTTCAAAACGAGTGTTTTATATTTATCTTTATATTCGTAAAATTTTGTACGTATATATAATCTAATATAATGTTATTTAAGGAGTTTTCTTGGGATCTATTTTTTCTTGTGGAAGGATTTCAAACAAGAAATGACCGGTCACGGTAACCTAGTGGCAGGGCGTTCGCTTCTTGATCGGGAGGCCAAGGTTCGATTCTCGTTCGCCGCGTTGCGTCAAACCTAAGAGGCAAACGCCCCACACTAGAAATGAAAGTCACGGGTCTTTCGGATGATACCTTAAAAACTGAGGTACCGTGTCACTGTAGGCGTTGGTACGATAAAGAACCCTTACTTCTCAATGGCCCATCAACTATCTGTTTTTTGTTTTCAAAATTTCGAGATAATAGCTGTTAAACTCAGTCTTCAAAACTATGAGGAGTGACAAACTTCACATAAAGTATAAAAAATCACCTTCACATGAAATAACATCAGCATAACATAAAAAACCATCTTCACATGAGATAACTACCTTCACATAAAAAACCACCTTCATATAAATACATGTAACCACCTTCACATGAAAAACAACCATCACAAGAAAAACCACCTTCACATGAAATAACCAAAGCATAACATAAAAAAGCACCACCTTCACATGAAATAACCAAAGCATAACATAGAAAAGCACCACCTTCACTTGAAATAACCACAGCATAACATAATAGAGGGCCGTCTTCACATGAAATAACCACATATGGCAGCTATGGCGTTCCATAACAGTGTCATTAGCTCATAAATATATGACATAAATGCTCTATTTTCAAAAATCCTGCCCCTAAAAATTCAAAACACATAGGTTCAATTAATCTTGCAAAACAAGGTCAAAGGTCAAGATACATACTGTATAGCATAGACTTATCTCTTAAATGTCAAAAATATGCTTTATAAATATGCACTATTTAGAAAATAGGTTAAAGAACAAGTTCAACGGTCACAAGGTCGGTAATCATTATGATTTACTAAAGCCATAGTGCACATGAATAAATTTGCAAAATATCAAATCCATATCTCTTACAGTTCTCAAGATGAGTTGTGACAGACGAACAGACAGACAGACATACGCCGGTAAAGTGATCCCTAAATGTCGCTTTGCTCTGCAGGCGACACAAAAATATCTCCTGTTCTCTATCTGCACGTGAAAATTTGAAATCAACGCTAGATGTATAATCACTACATTTTTGATACTCGAAGTGAGTGAATTTTTAGCTACATTTCATGAACTGACAGAAACAATGCCAACCATATATAGCATGTGCAAATCACCTGATTCTATTATATATTTACATGCTCAAGATGAGCGATGATGATGATGTTATGAGGATAGTATGCTAAGAAAAAAAATTCTCAATAAGTATATTACTGGAAAGCACATTGAGCCTCTGGGTAGATTTTTCCCGATGTCTTCCTGTTGTTTAATGTTTTGAAGCATGACTGATATAATTTATATTTTCAAAGGTTTTAAGATGAAAATAAAGGGTACAAGAATACTGACATAGAAATAACAAATGTACAACAAGTATTGCCCATTGGACTAGTTATGGCAAAAAAGATGGGACTAATCCTTATAAAAAACGCAAACAAACATTATAAAAACACATAACATGCTTGTACAAATGAATGGGACTAGAGTAAATGTATAAAACTTGATCAATTGTATTTCAAAAATATATTTAGCCTAAGACACCAAGTACAAATGCAAAAACAGGTGGAAGATAAGGTGATGGAGGTGGGTAAAAGTTTCTACACATTCAAACAATGGCTACAGCTTCAATAAACAAATATCACGTGATCAATATGGCGGTAAAGTACAGAACCGTAATGGAAAGATTTTTGTTATTCCGGAAAAAATTGACAATGTAATCGAGATGCTATAAATTACTTTATGTTTTCACATAAATACAATTATACCATCCTCTTCTAATATAATAGAGGTACCTTTTTAGCCATGAGTCTACTCTGCTCTGTTTTTTGCCCAGCAGATAACATAACACCGAGTTTGTCGAAAAAGAGCATTTATTATTGAAAATGCCAAAAATGTTTCCCAATCTTAGAAGTACATATGATACTCGTAAAAATTCTAAGGCACAAAATAGGACAGTAAATCTCATGTAAAATATATCTCATTACATGTACACAAAGATAAATGTGCCTAAGATATACACCGTACAAATACTGACATAGAAATAACAAATGTACAATAAGTATTGCCCATTGGACTAGTTATGGCAAAAAAGATGGGACTAATCCTTATAAAAAACGCCATGAACTTGTTGTCAAATTGGCAACAAGTGGCCCATCCAGAGGAGACGAATGGGAAGAAAGGTAATCAAGTCCCACAGAGTAACATATGTACTTTCCAAACAGGAAATATGCTATCATTGAATAAGAACTACTTATTCATGTTTGTTTACATCTATTCTATAACAAATGTGCACAATTAACATGATTAAACCCACAACTCTGTTTGAATTTGATCACAAGTTTCGAAAAACAAATCAACATGTATTTTTGGAAGTATATATACCACAGTTATGTAAAATTAGGAAGCACCAAGTCAGCTATATATACATATCACACTCATATCTAAAATGAAAACCCAAACATTAAAAAATAAGAGTTTTCTATTATAGCTTCTTTAACCATGACCTACAATAATCTACAAGAAATATCTTGTGCATATAATTACATGTCATTAAACAAACATGACTAGGGTTTAATACTTAAAATCAAAAACAATAAAAAACTTGTTATATTCACAAATGCCGCCTCAGACAGTCATTTGCAAACATGTAATGTTACCTAGAAGTCATAGTTAAATTTAAAAAACTATCAAACTTGACGTAATCACAAATGCCGCCTCAGACAGTCATTTGTAAACATGTAATGTTAAAAAACTATGAGTACTGGGTAATGGCCACCTTGAAAAATTGCTCACCTAGCAGCTGCCTCAGACAGTCTGACTAGAGAATACAACATTATTTCATAATCAGCTGCCTCAGACAGTCCAATTATAAAGCAATAGCCAATTATGCAAAGTCTGAATGTAAACTGTCTAAAATGTAAATCAAACAAGATTAAGAGGTGAAATTTCCACTGTATCAAAAACTGGTATCCTAAAATATCGCCTAATAGCACTGGAGTTCCAGCGACCCATTAAACGAATTTTATCCTCGGGAATTTTGCACTGAAAAGCATAAGACGCTGCTCCTATACGAAAACTATGTGATTTGTACTTAGTTGTGTCAAGACCAACAAATGATAATGCATTTTTTAGTTCATTTGTAAAGTAAGCCTGATTAATTGGTTTTTGACCATCAAAACTGAATAAAGGGCCCTGACATTTACTTCTGACTGATAAGTACTTTTGCATAGCTTTTACTGGACATATATTTTTACAAGTCTGAGCTGCTATTTGCAAGGACACAGGTCTACCTGAGTCATGATGTTTGAAATGTCTGAGTGTTAATGTCATAGATTTAGGTCTTCCTCGTACTGGGTCAAATGATAAATTTTTTAGATGAACAAGATTTCTACTTGAATTTTTTAAAGATTTCACAGTTACTTCACCTACTCTCAGGAATGCAAAGAAACAGAGTGTAAACATGGCTGTCAGAAGGCGTCTGCTAAACTTTCCAGCCACTGTGTGTTTAAGCGCATGGACTAGCTTGAAAAGAATATGAGGTGTTATTGGTAAACGGATATCTGGAGCATTGGATAAGTGCTGAGCTCCTTTGAGAAGCTTCTTGATGACAAAAAACTGAGTTGGGTCAGAGAGACCATGTATTTTGTGATAATAAGAAATACCTGCCACATAGGTATTTATTGTGTTGTAAGATTTTTTATGTTGATATAACCATGCTATAAAAGACATAATGTGATTTAACTGAGATGGAAATGTTGGACTTGTACTGAAATTTGCCCGGAAGAATTTATGATAAGCATTTAAAGCTACCTCATATGACACCTGGGTATTTTTTGACATTGCAGCATCAAGCAGTTTTGATGTCGAATTTACTAAATGTGTAGGTACTCCTGAGGGATGTTGGCTGGGAACTTGTCCATGTAAGGTGCTAATTCCTTGAATTTCTCTACCTGCAAACGCGAAAGTAAGTCTGGTAAAACATTTTTCTTCCCAGGAATATGCTCGGATTTGAACAGAATATTAAATCTCAAGCAAGCTAGAACCAATCGTCTGACTAATGACATCACTGATGGATCTTTCGAAGAAAGTCTATTAATAATGTTGACTACTGCCATATTATCTGAATGAAACAATATAGAACAGTTAGCCAAGGTTTCTCCCCAGATTTCAATGGAAACCACGATTGGGAAAAGTTCCTTGAATGTAATATTGTGATCTTGAAGGTTTATGTTCTCCCAGCTTCCAAAAAACCATTTTTTACCTAAGATAGCCCCATAACCTAAGCTTCCCGCTGCATCAGTATACAAATGAAGTTTTTGGGAATTTTGCCATCTGTCGTCCAGAAAGATTGACTTGCCATTAAAGTTGTCTATGAAAGTTTCCCAAGCTAACAAATCCAACCTTGCTTGCTTATTCAGACGAATCCTATGATGAGGCTTTTTTATACCTACTGTTAAATTAATAAGACGACGCAGAAATGCACGTCCAGGTACAACAACACAGCAAGCAAAATTTAACAGCCCAATCAAGGACTGAATTTCACGAAGTTTCATCTTTTTGCGATTTTTTGCTAGCTTAACTGCCTCACGGATTTTTTGGACTTTATCTTGGGGTAATCTAGCTTCCCACCTAACTGTATCTAGTTGTACTCCTAGGAAAACAATATCTGTAGAAGGGCCCTCTGTTTTTTCTGATTTAATTGGAACCCCCAACACCTCACATAAAGATATAAATTGTTGTAATGCTAAACCACATATTGTAGAGTCCCGGGGTCCTATAAATAAGAAATCATCCAATATATGCAACATGTTAGGGACTCCAAACTTGTTGCAAGCTATCCACTGCAATGCTGTACTGAAAGTTTCAAAAATGGAGCAGGATATTGAGCAACCCATGGGAAGACATTTATCAAAATAAAATTTATTTTGAAACTGAATACCTAGTAACTCATGGTCAAGTGGGTGGACAGGTATTATACGAAAAGCAGAAGCAATGTCAGTTTTTGCAAGAAGGCACCCAGGACCAATCTGCTTTATTAATCTGATTGCGTCATCGATTGTTGTGTAGGAAACGGAACATAATTTGTCTGGTATAAAATCATTTATTGAATGCCCATCAGGAAATGACAAATGCTGAATCATTCGAAATTCGTTAGCTTCTTTTTTGGGCACCAGACCTATTGGTGAACACTGAATATTAATAAAAGGAGGTTCCTCAAATGGGCCAGCTATTCTACCAAGTGAAATCTCTTTGTTTAATTTTTCTAATGTTATATTTGGAAGAGTTTTGGCTGATAACAAATTGGAAGAAAAACGTGGTTGTCTTGGACCCTCATAACCTAATCTAAATCCCTTTTCAAAACCTTCATATAAAAATTCTTTCAAATTTTGATGATAGCCTTCTAATAGCTGTTTTAAAATAGTTATGCGTACTGGAGTAACAACAGAACTATTTGTTTGCAGTGGTGGCTGATGAGAATGAACTTGATGGGTAGCTTGGGGAGCTGTTGTTTGGGGCTGACTGATTACCTCTTGGGCATTGAAGGGCTGAGTGGTTTTTCTTACACTGGTAACATGTGTGTTTATATTGACAGTTGTTCTGGTAGCATTTCCCATTTCTGTGAAATGCATAGCAGAATCCAGGTGGTGTTTTCCTACCTTTCTGGGGCCCCCCTCTTCTTTGAAAATTGTGTTTGGTACGAAAATTGGTTTGGAAATTATGATGAAAATTTCTAGATGTGGTGGCCATAACCCAATATTCATAATGCAACTGGCCCCAAGGGATAGACCTTGCCTCAATGTCCTTACGAACTTGTTTATCATACGTCAGCCATGATAAACCTGCATGTCTATTAGCCAACTCTCTGACAATTTCTCCATGTTTAATAACTGATGCAACTTGCTTTGGAAATTTTTCTGAATAAATTGCCAAAAATTTTAGAAAAGCTGATGTCCATTGATCTATGGATTTGATGAGAGTTTTTGACTTGGTTGAAAGTAATTTTAATTCAGAATTGCCTGTACTTTTAAGTTGAACAGACCTGTCTGAGGCAATATCTTCCCTTGGCAAAAGTTTACTAAAGTCAATATATTTATTTTGCCAGATTTTGTTTTTGATTTTTGTTTCAACCTGTGCTGATATTGGCGTTGACAGCAAATAGTTGTCATCATTATCAGACTCAGCTGATGAGGAGTCATCAGTACTCGTATTTTCATCTGAGGAATTTTCATCACCTGAAGAGTCAATCAAATCTGAGTTAGTACCTGCAATGGAAGGTGATCTAGGAGGTGAAGATATTCTTTTTCTCTTTTTCTTTGGCTCTCTGTGCTTTTTCCTTCCCCTATCCTCAGTTTCTACCATCTGTTGGGACTCCTGATTGGATTCATTTCTGATCGCTTCTAGGACCTTGTCCGTTACTGCTGCCACCAGCTGGTCCTGTGCGGTCTGTTGCACAGTCTGTTGTGCAGCCTGCTCTGCAGACCCTGCTGCTGCTGGAATGACCTGAGTTCGCCTCCCTCTTTGTTGGCGTTTGGCACTTTTGGGTTCGCTCATCTGTAAAATTGTTTATCAAAATGATATAAATGAAATATATTTTATTCTTAACCACAGCTCTGGTCAATGAATAAGGCTTCAGTACTAATACTGTAATACTGGTACATGGACTTAATATCAAACACAATTATTGTACCACAACAAATTCATTGACTATGTAAAAACATAGCTTTTTTGTGGAAATTATCATACATATTTGGTTAATTAACAGCTTTCAACTGATAATATAAGCATGTATGTAAATTCATTTAGAAATACCATTATACCAGTGTGGACTTGAGCATAATAAGTCAAATCTGAATTTTTAATACATGTCAATCAACATGGTAAAATTATTGACTCTCACAATGGACTTGAGTAAAAGATACTTATAACAAACATTTATGAACAGGAATGCCATATTTATAAGAACTTAAACATGCCCACCAACCATATAGGTGCATAGAACTTCTGTCACCTTTATCAATGGCCATGTGTTCCCCAACCATATAGGGGTATATAATTTTCATCACAAATTACACCTGATAAGGATTAAGGCCCCAACCATATAGGAGCCCAACAATATATATATAAACATATTGCCACTTAAACATCAGCATTCCTTGTGATTACACAATCTTAGTCACCTATGGTCTAATTACACGTCCAATTAGATGTAACAAGCCCACTTGAACCACCAATTTATGATAAACATATGTAATTACATCAAAGAAACCCCAACCATATAGGGGCATGAATATACACAGAAAGCCCCAACCATATAGGGGCATATTAATAAACCTGTAACCATAACTAGGAAACACAGCATATCCTTTATTGCATAACGCACATATTCATTAACTTTATCCAAAGCTAAAAGACATGTGTTTGTCTATAGAGCACATTTTAATAAATCCCCAACCATATAGGGGCACAATCATAAACCTGTAATCAAAATTAGGAAACAAAGCATAACCCCCAAAATGAATATTACTGCACTTCTATAGAGAACCGAAAGATGGTGCCCCAACCATATAGGGGAATACCCCAACCATATAGGGGCAAATTTAACTAAACCCACACCATACGTATATAGGCATAATAATAATCTATGATCATAATAAGAAAGACAGCATGATCATAAATGCAATGTGTAATATCTTCTATTCAGTGCTAAAAAACACGTCCCAACCGTATAGGGACAAGTTTCAATAAGGCAGGTGTAAAAAGCACAAAAACATGAAAACTGGTGAGGGAGGGGGATAAAAAATACAAACTCCAACCAAGTAGGGTACCCTTGAAAAACCCCAACCATATAGGGGTCAAATAATAAAGTGTTCATATCCAAAAAGCAAACAACAGGCAGATAGTGTAATTAATAAATCTTATATATCTTTATATATAACTAATTATCCCCAACCATATAGGGGAATAATCACAGAACTCATATCCCAGCAGAGAAAATACACCTAATATAGGGATATGATAATATAAAAGCACTGAATAATATATAAATTAAGCAAACATATTCTAATCAATAAATTGTTGATTAGAAAACAAAAACCCCAACCATATAGGGGTAAATTCCTTTTTTAAATAGCCATGAATAATAAAAACTGTTGTTTACCCCAACCATATATAGGGGAACAACAATTCCAAAGTTATGTGCCTCGACCATAAAGAGACAACATTTTAAACTTTGTAATAAACAGTTGAGTAAGGCTTATTATTTTGTTTACAATTCACTTGAACAAAGACTTAGCTCTGCCTTTGACATATCTTGAAACCAAGTGTAAAACATAGGCCCAGTGGCAGTGACAAAAATGTTTTGCCATGTGTAGTTAACTATCCTCCTATATTTTCAAACAAAATTCATACCCACCATTTGTTATGGTTTTAAGTGTAGAAACTACTACTGCTCGCAAATTATTATAATACTTCTTCATTCCTTGCAAATTCAGGTGTACACCATCTTGAGAAAACACCATGTCCTGACTTGCAGAGGACCAGAAACCTGATAAGCGGAAAAATTTTGATCCTTCCACATTACATAAATAGGATGATATTCTCATATTAAGTTCATCCACTCTTTCATTGAACCACTGAGTATCCACTTCATAACGTATGCGGTAACTGGGGGGTCTTCTGTGTAAAGTTTGTAGAATTACAACATGTTTCACTGATTCTGCATAACGAAGGGATATAACAAAGTCAATCAATTGTTTGAAGACATCTGATACTGATTTAGTAGGATCACAGAGGTCATTTGATACGGCTTGCAATACCACCACATCTGGATGAAACAGCCTTACGTAACGCAGACCTTGCGCCCTAACCTTTGACAATGTCGCTCCCCGAAATCCTGCATATGAAACATGAATTTCCTCCAAACTTAAGTTCAAATTTTTTGTCACACGGTTATCAGGAGAACTATTCACAAAGTCTTCCAATCTACTGACAAATGAATGTCCTAAAACTACAAGTTTCATAACCATGATGGCGAGTTACGTAATCGGATGTAAACCGCCACAAACTCTTTTACATTATATAAAATTAAGGAGAATGTACTTACGATGCACCGTCAAACACTAGCAATGAAACATGTGTCTTGCATGAGAATATATGGACACAAACGCAAGGAAAATATCAAACAAATGTAAAAGTTTCTACACATTCAAACAATGGCTACAGCTTCAATAAACAAATATCACGTGATCAATATGGCGGTAAAGTACAGAACCGTAATGGAAAGATTTTTGTTATTCCGGAAAAAATTGACAATGTAATCGAGATGCTATAAATTACTTTATGTTTTCACATAAATACAAATATTTTCAAAGGTTTTAAGATGAAAATAAAGGGTACAAGGAAGCTTACATTGCCTTTGGTGGTAATAAGTTTTGGGTTTTGGATTTCTGCCATACTCACACCGAGCTGGGTTTCCTGGTCCGTTTACTATCCATTACCAAACAAACCTGAAAAGGTACAAGTACAAATGTAATTCTGTTTGTCGTCTTCGTTAAATATTAGATGAAATAAATGGTGTTAATTAATGGAATTGATTTCTTGTCGTACATTTTGATTTCAACAGCATCACATGTGCATCCCTATGCCAATAGAAACAATATCTATAATTACAACGGTATTATAACATTTTGGTATAAAGGTTACAATGAATAACTATGAATAACATGAGGTCTATTGGTCACATCGCTCAGTTGAGCACTTAGAGATCACAGAAATCAGTTCAGAATTGAAGAGTTAAAAAATTATTATAAATGACTCCACCTACTCCCAAGGTCGAAGGTGGAAACAAACTTGCTTCCATATTGATAAGACTAACCATGGCTTTGTTCTTCCTGAGAGGAAGATTTTTATGATCTTTTTCCTACATCTTCCCATGTAAAACTTTCATCGCCTAATATGGCCCCACCCTACCCCAGAAGGTCAACATTTGAACAAACTTTAATCTACACTACAATACCAGAGAATGCTTCTGAATCATTATGAATAAAAATGGTTCTGTTGTTTTAAAAGAAGATTTAAAGATATTTCCTACATCTTCCTTTGTATAATTTTGATCCCCACTCGTGAACAAATTTGAATCTACACTACCTGAGGATGCCTATGTATTATTTTGACGATTCGTGGCTTTGCAATTCTTTTTTCCAACCTCTTTCTATAAAAAACTTATATTCCCTGTCGTGGCCACCCTACACCTTGGGGTCATGATTTGAACAAACTTGAATCTACACCACCTGAAGTTTTTTCTATATCAATAGGACTATACATGGCTTTGTTGGTCATGAGAATTTTCCTATGCATAAGTTGGATTCCCTATTGTGCCCCCCCCCCCCCACCGGCCGGGTCATTATTTGAAAAAAAATGAATCTACACTTCCTGCGAATGCCTCTTAATTATTTAGACTAGTCTTGACTTTGCTGGTCATGAGAAAATGAGCTTTGCTATTCCTGAGAAGATTTGTAAAAATTTCCCATATATTCCTGTGTTTAACTTTATTCCTCCATATCCTCTGTTGTGGCCCACTCTACCTCGGGGTTCATGATTTGAACAAAGTTGAATCTACACTTTGTAATGACGCTTTCAAGTATGTTTCATCTTTTCTGGTTCAGTAGTTTTTGAGAAGATTTTTAAAATATGCCAATAAATTTACACTACGCAGGTAGGTTAAGGCTTCCCGTAGAATATGACAGTGCACTCTGTGCCTTCACATCTCTGAACTACCAAAATATGACGTCATAATGGAAAATGACGTCAGGTCACTGCAAACTTGAGGTGTTATGACGGGGAGAGTGTCATGAACTTCACACTTTATTTCAAACTGCATGTAAAATGCTAGATAGCCATTGCAAAATTCACGGGTCGTTAAAGGTTTTTTAAGTCTTATATGTCCGAATATTTTAAAAATACACCACTTACCTACCCTTGATTGAAATTCATCATGTTCAAAATGATTATGAAAAATATACTTTTGAAATGTACTCTGTTTTATACCCGTGGTTGGAGGTAGAATTTATTTTGTGTGTATAAAATTGTCTGGCGCAGGTGATTAATGAGGATTAATCTGATAATTTTTGTGGAAATCTGTAAGAAGAGGTTGCGCTCTAACTGAATCTTGCTTGGGAAAATGTGTGTTGGCTTTGTTTTAATACAGATTACGATATTGTATGGAAAATACCCTAAAATTTGTAGGTAAGTTGAATTTCTCAGGATATATTTTGTACCCAAGTAATACTATGACTTTTCCCAAGCACATTTCGGATACACAAGGATACGATGAGCTTATTTATATAACAAAATGTTAATAATTATTGTGTTAATCAGCTGCGCCGAAGCGATTTATATGAAACACTTCCAAAAATTATAAATGACCGTCACGTGATCAACAAAGTCATGTGATATCATAACAAATATGCTAATATATAACCGGGGAAACCCTTTATATAAATTGGAAGTACTAAAGTTCAATACTTGTAAATTAAAACCAAAACCGACCTCGCAATGACATATTATGTTTTGAGCGCATTTTAAAGCTTCGGGAAGCCTTAACATAGCTGCGTAATTCTTAATTAACCCCCTTTGAAAGAGGGCGCGGCCATTCCTGTGAACAAACTTGAACCACCTCACTTGAGCCAATTGCTCAGGTGTGCTAAAATTTAAAGGCTGAGGGTAAAAATCCCACTCCAATTCAGTGCATTTCAAGGAATATTTCCTACGTTTACATTAAACATTTTCCCTTCACCTTTCAGGAGATGATGATATGGGAATCAACACTGAATCACACATTGCTACACTATTATAATATATTCTTCAACGACTACGTAAGACATTCGATGTTATAAAAAATGAAAAATATATTTAATTAAACTTGTATTTTATCCAATATGAATGGTTACATCTCTCTCTCAATCTGTCTAATATATATATATATATATATATATATATATATATATATATATATATATATATATATATATATATATATATATATATATATATATATATATATATATATATATATATATATATATATATATATATATATTAGGGATGGCAATTTGTAACCGGTTAACCGATTACTCGGTCGGAACGATGGCAATCGGTTGGCAAATCTGTAATCGGTTAGTCGGAAAAAAATATATATATGTGTAAATCACTTTTCAACGTATAAAATCTCTGAATTTATTTCAGCCGACTAGGAGGTAATTAATTAATTTAGGCTCTCAAATTGAGGTCTTTGGGGGGAATTGGTCAGTTTGTGAAGTGTTAATTGCTTTTTTAAACACTTTGCCGTTAAACTACATATCCTGTATCTCTTTAATGATATTAATTAATTAAAATTACTTTTGAGTACTGTAAACTGATAACAATGTGTATCTTACCCGTCTATCTTCTGGGGTTGTCTGCCAAATTATATTTTTAAACAAACATTGCAAATTAAGTGTCAGTTCGGTCTCATTTTCTATTTATGGTGTTTATGCAAAATGATCTTACGTAAAATCATCATTCTTAAATATCTGATGGATATTTCATGGTTTTCTTATTTATTTCTATCAAAATTGAAACAAAGTATATTAAGTGTAGTGATCAAGCATATACAAAATATTACTAAGCGTTTTTTTTTTTTTTTTTGAAAGTTTTCTTGCGTGTATGAATAGAGTTTACTTGAAAAAAGAGGTAAGAAAAATGTGTATTTGATACGATTAACCGGTTAATCGGTCGGAACGTTTTGCGGTTAACCGATTAGCAATTTTGTATTCGATTGCCATCCCTAATATATATATATATATATATATATATATATATATATATATATATATATATATATATATATATATATATATATATATATATATATATATATTATAGTGTGTGTATTTCTCATAATGGCATTATTTTTAGGTACAAAGTTACACATTTGAAGATATACAAGGAAACGCCTATTACCTTGAAGCATGCACATATCATTATCCTAATCGTAATTGCAAACGTTTTCCACTCAACCGCAATATTACAAATTTGGTACATTCTATTTGTAAGTTAAATGTATTTATAACTGTATCTGAAAGAGTTTAATGCAAAAAAAAAAAAAAAAATTATTATACTGCAACATTTAAGTGCTGTAATAGCTCTATGTAAACGTGTTTGAATCGTATACTTTAGGTGAGATGATTGGCTCCGTTGCTGTCCTGGGTTTATGTATTGTTAGCTTTTTTCTCATTCTTCTGAAATCTGGATCTTCCCATAAAGTTCTTGCTGCGGGAATTTCTATGTTTCTTGCAGGTGAGTCGAATCTGTTGGTTTCATTCGTAGTTTTAGTTCAAATACGATAACTGAACTATTTGTTTGGGATGTCAACTCTCCAAAATAATATGCGCAAAAGATAGTTTAGCAGTCTGTCAATCATTTGTGAGGTTGAATAAATTTGCATCGGGATATTACTTTGCATCAGCGCTTTCAGCAAATGTTCATGGATCTTATTGATAAAACTTTTTAAGTGAAAGTTTACCCTTTGGAAATAGCTTCATGCAAAACATTTAACAGCATAATTTACAAGTTGGGATATAAATTTTGTTCTTGATCAAATAATTGTTTGTAATTTTATACAGCTTTACTTGAATTCCTTGTGATAATCAGTTGGATTGAAACGGACAGCAAGGGATGGGAATTCTTAAAACGTAGTATTGGGGAAACTGACAAGGTAGCATATGAACACAATTTTCCTTATTCCATTTTTCTTGCAGGAGAGAGTCTGTTTTTTAGTATCCTTGCCATGTATAGCATTTTTGTTTTGTTCAAGAAATTAAACAAAGAAATTGAGGAAAATCTGATTAACGACTTATAAAATAACGAAGTTTACAGTACAAGATGTAAATATTACACACATTATAAATAGTTCGATAATTCAAGCTGTAATTACTATTTTGTGGGATAAAATCATGCAAAAATTATCAGCAAAGAATTAAGCTTTTGAATTGTGTGAAAGTGAACCTTCATAATTTTGATACTG